GGAGGGAGGGAGGGTGGCAGGGACGCCGGCGCTGCGTCAGTCCCCGCCCAACCGAAGGGACGGCCCACGAGGAGGGCAAAGAGAGGGGAGGCCGAAAATAAAGCAACAACCAGATTCTCGTTTCGTGTATTCGCTGAAGGTTCCGGGTCGAAGGGAAGGGATTTAATGTTAGTGGACGGTGCGGTTAGTGAGGCGAGGAGGCTTCCCGGTTATGAGGAGAATCGGGGGGAGTTGGCAACTGCCTCGCCGCCCCCTGTTTTCGGTCGCACAATGGTACAGGCGGCGTAAGGACGCGGGCCCTGCTCGCTTTGCTCCGCCTGGCCCAATCAGCGTGGAGGGAGCGCGCAGGCGCGGAAGCGTCCTCTGTTCTCGGATGGGATGTGGGAGACTCATTTGGGATGGGAGCGCCGAGAGGGAGGAGGTTGGTCCTTTCTCTCCCATCCTTCTTTTTGAAGAGGCGTCCAATAGGCCGGGCTGTTCGGGGTTGGCTGGACAAGGTCCCCTTTGAGCGCTTCTTTCCGTGGTAATAGGTTCCCCCCGCCACAAGCCCAGGCTCTCTCGCAGTGGTTTTGAAGGAAAATATTACACATTCCAAATATTAAGGCGATATTTTTGTCAGGCCAGCCCCAAAGGCGCAAAAGCCCACCATGTTCACCATCAGGTATGGGTATTAAAAAGCTACATTTAGTGCAAGGAAGGAAGTCCCTCTTGGGCTGCATCCGCACGGCAGAAATAATCCGGGTTGACACCGCTTTAACTGCTATGGAATTCTGGGGATTGTAGTTCTGTTGAGACATTTACCCTTCTCTGTCAGAGAGCTCTGGCGACCTAACAAACTACAGTTCTCAGAATTCCATAGCATTGAGCTTTGGCAATTAAAGCGGTCTAAAACCGGATTATTTTTGCAGTGCGGATGCAGCCTTGCAATGTTTCCTTGGTGTGTTTTGCGCCTTTTGCTCAGGCTAGAAAAAGAATCACTCACAGCAGCGTGGTTTTGTTTTGTTATTTTTTTTTTTTTGCTACATTTTGCTGCATAACTAGCAATAATAATAATACATTTTATTTCTTTCCCGCCTCCTCAAGGCTTGAAGTGGGAATGCAGCATGTTAAAAAGCAAAACACATAAACCCACACGGTTAACAACAGTATAAAATCATTAAAATACACTCATGATAGTTGTTATATAGACTACTAGGCATAGACTTTAAACTAGGATGCAGTTGTGAAATTGTGTGAGAAACGGATGCCCTGCATTTTCCTAACTAAAGAGCAGCTCCAGCCTTACATATGATTTAACATTTGAGTTAGCAAAATGCCTTTCTTTGTAGTCAGCCATTTTAAAGAGGTCTCTTAAGACTGGAGAGCCAATTGCATTTGCACATCCTGAAGTCTCTAGGCTTTTTGGATGCATCGCCCTTGTATTCTCCGTTTTCCATGAGGGAAAAGTGCCTGTGAAGGCTTTGGCTAGAAGAGGAACAAACTTGAAGCAGCAAATAGCCAAATAGGAGACCATTTTGAGGTGTGTGTGTGTGTGGGGGGGGGGGGGGGGAATGGGGAATGGGGACAAACTCAGATCAGGAACATCATTTGGATGTGGTTTGGTTGCTTGTTCTCCAAAATCAGCCAGGTTTAGCTTGCTTGTTTAAACATATCCCTAACAAAAACTCAGAATAATTAAGTTATCTGATCCCAGGTATTGAGCCTGAACAGTAATCTGAGAGTGAGGCTGCATCTGCACCACAGAAACAATCCAGCTTGACACTGCTTTAACTGCTCTAGCTCAGTGCTACAGAATCCTGGGAATTGGAGTTTGGTGGGGCACCAGAGTTTTCTGGCAGAGAAGGCTAAATGTTTCACAAAACTACTGTTCCCAGAATTCCATAGCATTGAGCCATGGTAGTTGAAGTGGTGTCAAACTGGATTATTTCTGCAGTGCGGATAGTAATAATAATATAATTTATTTATATCCTGCCTCTCCCCAAAGGATCGAGGCAGATAACAATAATAAAATATCACAATGACATTAATTAAACATAATTCCCTAACCACCAATTAAAATAGAAAATGTAATCAATTTACTAAAATCAATTAAAATTAATCCTCATTAAAATGAGGCATTGTGGGATGAGTAGAGCAACCATAGTTATGGGACAATGGGAGAGTCTGTCTATCAATCTGGGAATGCTCGTTGGAAGAGATCCATCCTGATACCCTTCTTGAAGGCATCAAGAGTTGTAATATGACGAATTCGTTCCAAAGTTTAGGAGCGGCCGATGAAAAGGTCCTTCTGGGTAACTGCAGCAAGCCTGGTCTCCTTTGGCTGTAATAAGTTGCTCCCAGGGGACCTGAGTGTGTGGATTGTATGGAAGAAGGCACTCTTGCAAATAAGCTGGACTTAAGCCATGTAGGGCTTTAAAGATTACTGAGCCCGGAAACTAAGGCAGCCAGTGTAAATATTTTAACTGGTGTTATGTGGTCGCCTCTAGATTTTCCGGTGACCAACCTGGCTGCCATATTCTGAATTAATTGAAATTTCCGAGTTAGGTACAAGGGTAGCCCCATATAGAGCATGTTACAGAAGTCCCATTGAGAGGTAGCTCATAAGGCTTCATTCACACTATGGAAATAACCCGGTGGCATTCACACTCGCCCAGACTGCACTCAGTGCAGTTTGCTGGGAGGGGGGTAGGGTTAGGGTTACCAGAAAACCACTTAACCCGGTATATTTGATACCGGCTTTTCCCCTGCATCTTTTTTTAAAGAGCAGCAACAATCTGCATCTTCCGTAGTGAGTATGCTGCCGAATCAATTTGGATCGCGCTGCATCATTCCTGGAAATGGAAGTGCCTCCATTTTAAATTGCTCCGATAGCAAGTGTGAATGGCAACAGTATTAAAATGCCACACAGAG